ATGTAGAATGAGAACTAATAGAATCCAATTCCGATGTTCGTAATATCCAATTTAAAAGACGGCTGAATACAAACGTAGAGCAATATTCTTTATTCTAGGATGTTACAACAAAAACATATAAAAAGATCAAAACAGATGCAATCATGTTTCGATGTGTATCAGCATATCTCGTCAGGCCTTACTATATGTTAGTGTATTAACGTATCTCATCAGGCCTTAGTAAATGACTAGTGAGTAGAGAATTTCTTCCGGAATGGAATAAATTCTCTACTCACAACATATTATATTGCATCTAGACATTGGTTCTGATGTAATTCTTCAGTCTATTGCGTGGTATGACGTCACAGAACCGCATCTTGATATTACGATCTGCGTCTGCTATTCCGCGACCGTTGTCGTCACATAGCAATCTTCTTTGTATAAATAACAAAATATAATCTTTGTTGGTGGATATCTTTGTTTCATGTCTATATAACCACTCTGAGGATAGCTTATGTTAGCCGAATGCTTAGGACCAAATTAATAAAAAAAAATGTGTCTTCATTTTCACCAGTAATTAAAGCAATCAATCGAATATGAGAACGGCATAATAGACATTCACTGTCTTTTATATTTAATAATATATGTTTAAATAATGATCTGCTTGCTCCAATATATATATATATATATATATATATATATATATATATATATATATATATATATATATATACTGATACAACAAAGTACAGCGATAATGAACTCGCAACCACCCCTTGTCTAGATGAATGGATTTCTCTGTATCCTTGGAAACGTGAATTAAGATTTGTTGCTGTGCCTTTAAAACCCAGTAATAAATAAGTTACTCCAAAATTCGCTTGAGGATGAAATGGAACTCATGTCTTTAATTTAATTACAAAATCAAATTCGAAGCTTTTAACTTCTATTTTTGAAACATGGTTAGAACTGTGTAGCGAAAAAACATTTTAAATCAATTAATTTATAATATTAATGCTCTGTAAATTTACATTGAGCACTATTTTGTAAAAATAAAAATATCTATAAGAACACCGGATTATACGATGTTGTCTCATACGAAACATAAACATAAAAACTGAACTGAAAGACACTCATACGTCGAAAACAACAAATCCATCATATATATATATATATATATATATATATATATATATATATATATATATATATATATATATATATATATATATATATATATATATATATATATATATATATATATATATATATATATATACAAACATAATAGAATCTTGGAAGATGAGGCTTAGCATGTGTCGTGAACCGGAAAAAGGAATACATTTCCTTAAAGCTTATTTTGATCAGTCATAGCAACTGATTCCACATCATTCTTTGTGTTCCCCACCTTCTCTCTTCGCGAGAGAGGCGAATCAAGCAAGTGGTTCTTGATTTGGGCAAGCCCATCTTTATGTACCGTGTCCCTTTAGGACAAGGGCGATCTTAGAAAGAAAGTTATGAAGACGAACATATAATTTTTCCTTGTAGACAAAGAAAATGAGCCGAACCTATATATATAAATATATATATATATTGGGTTTGGAAGTAAAGTCTGATGATCCGCAGTCCTTTTAAAAGGGCTGTGGTGAAATAATTTATTAAAACCAACCATAAAGTGGTCTGTTTTTTATTTAAAATATATATATATATATATATATATATATATATATATATAATAATAATGAATCATTTTGTTGAATAAACATTACTACTGTTAAAATGCGTTCTGCATGCCGAGTTAAAATTCCTGACGGTGACATTATGTTCACGTTTGTACAAATATCACTGCGAATGTTATAAATACATTTCTTCTCGTCGTAGCGCTAAGTTAAATAGCAGAGTGTCAACTGAATTCTCGATGTCTTGCTTGGCAACCATTTTCATAGAAAGTTAACCTAGAATTCACTAGAACCGGCCTAATGACCCGGTGAAGTGGTCATATTTAATGGCTAAATCGACAAAAGCTGCGATCAACAGAGCTGGATCGCAACGCGGTCCGTTAATATGCCTCGATCTTTGAATATTTCAAGAATTGATCATGCAGTCTTTGCATGACCAGAACTACTATTTCACTGATTGAGTCATGTCGTATGAAAGAAAAGAGAGGGTGGAAGACTGGCTATTTCATCAGAAAAAGTTTTCACGTTGTTTTTTGTGTATCAGAGTAAATATCGTATTCTTCTGAACATTAAGGACGCCACGGTTAATAATTATCTCCATAGGAAAAACGGATTTTCTTGAAGCTATAATCGGCAACGTTAAACTTTCACATTGTCCTGATGAGATTAAATGAGATCCCGAAAGATTACCTGGTAAATTATTTAAAAAAAAATGGAATAGCAACTGATATAAATGTTTGAGACATTTAGAAGAAATCCCTAAGGAAGTCTTCAACTATCTCCTTTTTACCACATTAGCCGAGATAATTGTTTTAGGAGAAAGCTTAATGGTGACTAATGAACGACCAGTGATGAAAAATATAATTGTACCCTTTAATTTTATAGAATGACTGAATCACATGACAAGATGGGAAAATAGTCAACAATAAAGGATAAAATAATATATATATATATATATATATATATATAGAGAGAGAGAGAGAGAAAGAGAGAGAGACAGACAGACAGACAAAGAAAAGGAGGCAGAGTGAGTGATGTGTGTGTAAGTGTACATGCGTGTGACAGTATAAATATATTTCCGTGTGATAATATATACACACTAATAATGTGAAGTTTATACACGCTCCTAGTAAAAAAAAGGTATACAGACTCGCACGCAAATATATGCACGCATTAATCCAGAAAGTAGGTGGTAGATAGATAAGAATACGCATAAAGGAACACAAACAAACAAACAAACAAACAAACAAACACACACACACACACACGCATATATATATATATATATATATATATATATATATATGTATATATATATAATGTTAAACTCTTCGGTAAAGGGAATCGAGTTCTCTCAGTCTCTGTCAACGGCTTAGGGGTAGAATCTCCGACTGATTCCAATTCAGCCGGGTTTCGAACCTAGCTAGAGGCAACCGGGCGTCTAGCCGCACTGATGAGATGTGATACAACGGAACAGTCTGTCTGTTGATGACAATATATATATATATATATATATATATATATATATATATATATATGAAGGATCAAGGGTTAGAACTAGCAAATCTCATTGTGGTCGATTTTTCAGTTTCTCTTCTTCTTTATCTATGTACCGTGTCCATTGGGGACGTTAGCAATCATGGTTCTCCATGATTTCCTGTACTTTCTTTCGCTTAATAAATTTTGTCTTAAAGCTCGTAGGGAAGGGCACAAAATTTTCCAACTCCCCTTTCCTGATTATGTTCCCTAGAAATTTCAACTGCTTGTTCCTGATGCTAAGTAAAAGTTTCCTTTTTGTTTCCATTTTCTCTAAAAGTTCGTCGTCGCTCACATATTCTGTTCATGATATTCTCATCATCCTTCTGCAGAACCGTACTTCTGTTGCTTCAAGTATCTAGTTAGTCTGTTCTGTTTGTTTCCTTAACAATAATGTTTGCACGCCATCATCATCAAAAAGGAGTAACGTAAAAATATGTGACTGCGAGTTAGCAACTGATGGCGATCCCTGAAAACTACGTTGCAAAATATTTTTTTTCAAAATGCGATAGACTCTGGTATAAAAATATATGGTTCCAGTGGCCTATTTCCAAGAGACTAAGACATCATTTCTATAGTTTGATTTTTATTTTGTGAAACTAAATGGCTATTTTTGGAGATATGGTAATCTTTTTTATACATTTCACCTCAAGCAAGGCAATAAAGCCACTAAGACTCAACAAGCTACTGAGTGATGGAGAATATGAAAAATATAGTTTTACGGGCAGAGGAAAATGGAAGAACAAGAATTAAGAAGATAGAAGGTAACATTTACTTTTTTGAACAATAAAAATTTAACTGGGCAGCAAGACTCCGGAAGAGAATTCTACGATAGAAAAAACTGTTAGCATAGAACTTACGGTTACATGTAGCTATTTCAATTGTGAAATGATAAGACCTTGCAGCCAATCTAGTACTGCGCTTAAATTAATGCAGTTTAGGTATCATTAAATGAAAGTTATTGGGACCATTACGGATAAACTTCCTATATATTTGGTATGAGTGTAGGTAGCATAACCATACGTTGCTTGATGTCGTCATTCTTTGGCCTCTGTCAACGTACCCAGAATAGCCGAAAAGAAGGCTAGAACCCGCATTGGTCAAGCAGATTCATGTTAAGCATCGCTTAAAAACAAGCATAGATTTTATAGGCACAGCAAATATATGTCTTTAGATTATTTTCTTTGCAAATGAAATGCGCGTCAAGGTTACCGTTTTCTTGCCAAATCGCCTCTTTGAATGATCGGAAGAAAAGCGAAATACGAGAAGCGAGGGTACTTGGGGAAATTGTGGTGCAAATGAGGCGGACATTGAAGGAACTGGACAAAAGGTCAATGTATCCGATTTTCTCCATGAATAAAACCAATTTGGACAAATTTGCACAATTTAAAGAATAATAAAGAAGTAAGGAGAGAGCTTCTGGAAGTGAGAGATTGAATTGCATCACGACAGACGAACCATTTGAAAAGTAATGGAATCTGAACGGAAAATCCAGAGAGAGAGAGGGGGGGAAGAGGGAGGGAGAGGGTAGAAAGAGAGGGGGAGAGGGAGCGAGAGAGATAGGGGAGTAGTGAAGGAGAGGTAGAAAGAAAAAGATGGGGAGAGAGAGGTAGAGAGTTAGAGGTAGAGGTAGAATGAGAGAGAGAGAGAGCTAGAGGGGGAGATAGAGATGGTGAGGGAGAAACAAAGAGAGAGAGAAGTAATGAGACAAAGACAAAAATACGAGTAAATTGATTTATTTTCGGCTCGGCTTCTCTGTTTAATTCTCACTCTCTCTAATTCTCTTTTTATTTATTGCATGATCATCAGTTACTCTCCCTCTCTCTCTCTCTCTCTATCTATCTATCTATCTATCTATCTCTCTCTCTCTATCTATCTATCTATCTATCTATCTATCTATCTCTCTTTCTCTCTCCCTCTCTCTCTCTATATATATATACATATAGATACACCTAGTGAGCCAGACAAACCTACCTAAACGAAACGAGTCTAGTTATTTATATTTATATATATATATATATATATATATATATATATATATATACGCATATAAATATAGATAACTAGACTCGTTTCGAAAAAACCCTCGAATTTTTGATTTGCTAATCAAATCAATCTCAAGGGAAAAAAGGTTTTAAAAAAAGAAAAGAGCTACAAACATGAACTTCTGCCGACAAAAAATCGCACAGATGCAGGTCTGAAGCCCAAAGAAAAAAAACCCCGATACGAGTAACAACTAACTAACAAAAGAGCTCAATACAACCGTAGAGCAGACCTAGATACACCTAGTGAGCCAGACAAACCTACCCAGGCTTCACCTAAACGGATCGTCAGGGAAAGTATATACATATATATATTTTGTCAAGCTTTTTGAATTTTCCTATACTTGTATTTTGATTGGTCCATCTAGCTTTTGTAACAACGTTTTCCCCTTGTGAAGGATTGTTAATTAATTTGAAACTTTTAAAACCATTTATTTTACATTCTTCTTCATCACTTGATAAGACACCGAGGGTGTTGAAACAAAATGGCTATTTTTGTAGTGATTTTATAACATATTTATGTTATAATTTGTTTTTAAATAAATAATTATATATATATATATATATATATATATATATATATATATATATATATATATATAAATGCAAATTTCAGTGTGTCACTGTGTCACACTTTTTCGATTAAAGTAATACAACTCTCTAACTTTCAACAGCTTTTGTTACAGAAATTTTGGATCCTCGAGTTTTCATTACTGCGATTGCTTTAAGTGATTTTTGCGACAATTTTTTTTTCTTTTTTTTTGTATGATAACAATTTTTATAAGTTGAAAATAAATTAGGGAATAATTAAAATTAATTGCGAAATTCAGTTGATGTCACCCATGAAATAAAAATAATTGTTTCTACGGAAAGTAAGGACATCACGTTGCCTTTAAATTCAGTGGTAGCAGAAGAATTATCGTTGCACTTTTAAAACGTAAGCTTAAATATTAATGCTGTACTTAAATGCGATCAGTTTTGAATTTCCTGTAGTCTATTGTTGCCTATAGCAGTATGCCTCGCAAAAAAAATCTCTACCAACAGAGCACCAGAGTGCAATCAAAAGAGCCAAGGCTGCAGTAAGGAAAAGAAAGTTCCATGCAAAAGAAACCTGAGATCAAACGGTAGCCAGAAGAGCTAACCAGTACTGAGAATATGCAAAGACTTAAGGGCACTGAACAAGCTGAAGGTTCAATCAAGAGCCCTTTGCTGCAAGTAGCTTAAATGCCACACGAAAGGGCGGCTTTTAAGCTTATATATATATATATATATATATATATATATATATATATATGTGTATATGTGTGTGTGTGTGTGTGTAGTGTGTTGTAGTTTTTTTCAGTGGAGGCTTGTATTTCACTAAGTCGGTCCTAAAAGGTTCGACGTACAAAACGTTAGGAACTTGAAATAATAGTTAATGACGCAGCAAATCTAGTTGTGGTCGTTGATACTTTAATGTCCGACATCCACTGACTCACCAACTCACTCTGAGCCCTGGCGACTGCTACTACTTATTATCTGTTGGAGAGTCTATTAACAATAGAATAGGTATGATCCGGTATAACAATATATTAACACTATTACGCACTTGAAAAACCTTGGATGACTCATCGTGTAGACACCTGAGGAAAAAATTGGAAGTAAAATAAGAAAGAACTAAAAAGATCGGACCAAGGCGAAAGAAAATTGTCAAGTGTTTTAAGTCCTTAGTCCAAAGAAAAAGAAAACAAGCGAGTATAAAGACAACGAAAACGTAGAGGGCTCAATACGCTAAGTAGAGTGGTAAATAGAATAACACCTAACGAGTCAGGCAAACCTACCTAGGTTTCACCTAAACGTATCTTCAGGGTAGACTGGGTCTTCAGAGTAGATTTCAGGATTTATTGCATATATATATATATATATATATATATATATATATATATATATATATTAAATATCCGACAACATTCATATTTCTCTCACTTAAACCGTCTTTGACTCCCATCTCTAAAACTTATCTCTGTTAAATTTTAATCCCCACCTTCTCTCGTCTGTTACCCCTCTCTTTAGCTCTAACATTCGTCCCACACGCTCATACTTTACACTCTCTAAATTTTATTTTCATTTCCGGAGTTGTTTTTTCTGCTTTCTTTTTTGAAGTTGTAGGTCTGATGAATTGATCGTATTTACGATTCCAATGGAATAAATTATGACCATTGAATATTAGTGTTTAAGCCTTTTTATTATATATATATATATATATATATATATATATATATATATATATATATATGAAATAAAAGAACAATAAGATATATAATCCGGAGGTTCTTATTGATATTTTTTTATTTTTTTTATTTTTACAAAACAGTACTCAATGTAAATTTATAGAGCATAAATATTATAAATTAACTGATTTAAAATGTTTTTTCGCTACACAATAATAACCATGTTTCAAAACTGTAGCTAAAAACTTCAAATTTAATCATATAATTAAATTTGAAGTTTTTAGCTTCATTTTTTGAAACATGGTTATTACTATGTAACGAAGAAAAAACTATTTTAAATCAGTTAATTTATAATATATATATATATATATATATATATATATATATATATATATATATATATATATAGTATGATGAAAAAACATGCATAAACGCAATTATAGTTGCCCGTACATATATATTTCTTTCTCGGGTGTTATAAAAATAGTGCTTAATGTTATATAACATAGTATTAAATATATATTAGTGATTATACATACTATCCAACGTCGATATCACGACTCGGAGTTTCATGTAAATGTGCAATCTTCAGTTAAAGCGTTATGAAATTCATGTTCCCGTGATGAGGATTTAAAATTGTCTTAAGACTTGTTTATTTTATTATTGTTGCCCGTAATATTATAATTAATTATTTATAATCTATATTATTCCAATTCTTAATTTCGAAAGACGAAGAATTAAAAAAAAAAAAATTATACATTATTTTAAATAAAAAAAATTGAAATTATACAGGGTGTCTATAAAGTTAGTGTGCACTGAAAAAAATTATAACTTTATTTGTATTTGCGATAGAAATAGTCTGTAAAAATTGTTATAAAGTTAGATGTACCTAGTTTTACGTATAGCTAAAATAACTAATATGATTTCAGGCAATACTGTAAATCAGTTGGCAAATGTTTTCCGTGAACTGCAAAATCGTGTTACCCTTTGTATTGCTAATGATAGAGGATATGTGGAAACTTAAATAAACTTTCAATAAAACCTTAAAAAACATAAATTTACTTCTTCCTAATCCTTTTTAAAAATTATTTCTATCGCAAATACAAATAACGTTATAAAGTTTTTAAAGTGCACACGAACTTTATGGACACCCTGTATAAACAAGTTATATACGAAGGTGGAAAAACTCTTTTTTTTTTCTAAAATATCGTTGTTATAATATTTAAAGTAATGTCATATGGATTCAATTTATCACTCACGATGTTAATAAAATAATAGATCGTGAATATATATATATATATATATATATATATATATATATATATAATGTATTTGGAATCACCTATCCTTATACTTACAGAGGTGAAATTACATATACACGCGTTATAAATTAATTGAGTAAGTTAATATGGGATTATATATGTGTATAGATATATAAAGCATGTTATTCATGATGGATTCTATTAATATTAATAGTTGTTACACATTATATTAATATTCGTAAAATCTATTTTGGAATCTATGTTAATCGTGTCACTGTGTTTGAGCAGATGTTTGGTTTTAGTGATACATGACGCAATCAATTCGCTTCTCGTGTTCAGCAAGTTAGTTTAAATATTTTAATATAATAAACTTCTCCTCGAAAGCAAGTTACATCTGCCTCCCTTTGCATTTTTACTATCATGTCCACTCTCTGACCTAACATCCATTTACCCAAAATCGTTCCGTAGGTTACTCGCTGTTTCTCCTCTTGACTTCAATATTTCCTGTGAATATTAAATTCTCCAAGCCTTCTTTCCTCATGCATTTTGAATTTCAACTTCTCCTGATTCAATGTATAAATGGACTTTTCTTGTCTTCCTATTTTCCTTAAAATTTCTTCCTTCCTTACATGCTCTGCCTATAGTATTCTGAGCACCCTTCCGTAGAACGCCATCTGTTTTCTCATGTTTTCTCTCCATATGCGAAGAAATTATCCAGTATTCAGGGTTTTATTACATTGATATTTTGTAGGAGTTGATCCTTCTTTGTTTCTAACGAAATTTTAGCGTTTCTTAATACTTTGCTTAGATTTTTGAAACCATTATTAACTGTTTGTCTACATCATCGGATTTCGGTGTTATATTTTCCAAGTAAATATATGGATATTTATAGTGTCGATTTCTGAGTCTACACTACTTTCTTGCTGTTACGAACTCTTATAATCCAAGGAAGAGATTTATTTTCAAGAAAACTTCTCATTCAATCTCTTTCATTTTCATTCGCTATTTTTTGCATATGAAGCAGACCATTAAATGCGTCTGGTTGCAAAAAATTGGACGAGATGCACGATCTGAAAATAATATAGACTTTTTGCTTTTACTCTTATGGGTAGAATACATGGACATATGCTCTGCAAAAAAATATGCGAAGAACAACTTGCATGGAGACTGCTGAAATAAGCAAATATTCCTTTCTGAAAATTGGGAAAAATCTTAGTTTTTGCCGACGCATTTCGTCTTCTGTCTTACCAAGGCAAAACTGAAGCGAAATGATTTTTGTTTTCATAGTTACATTAAATTCAAAATTTAAAAAGAGAGAGACTCTCTTGCTAATGTTAATTGCCTTTATACTAAGAGGTTTTTTCCATGTCGACAATATAGTAAAATTTCTAGAACAATTTTATGGATAAGACAAATTGATATAAGAATGAAA